TCATAACAGTTCCAATTCCTCTCTTCATCCAAACACATCACCCCCACCAGTTCCCTTCATCACCATTCTTTCTCCTAATGTGTCACTCCTTTCTGCCTTCTCTTTGTTTCACACCCAGCCCAGACCCCATCATCTATCACTGTCACCACTCTCTCTGATCATATCTTTTAAAATGGCACCAGGACTAGCCAGCTTAGAGTTTCCCTCTACACTGTCAATTCTGTTATGTTTGTCATATAATCTGTTTTACAGCTCCTGTGGGTACCTTACTCAACTTATCCTTGACCTCCTCTGCTCTGAAGGCCTTCACCTACACTCTGTTTCACAATTCCAGTCCTTACAATACATGCTAGATTCTGTCATAATCCTGTTGATGTAAGAAACCTCCAAACCTGTAGGGAATTCTTATAAGAGTTTATCTGAGCCAAACTGATGACATGCCAGGGAGCAGAATCTCAAATGCTGTGGAGAATAAGTTTTTGCAGCTTTTTTATGCATTTGAAATTAAGGAGGGACCATAAGGAAGATTACATGGAGGTGGGAAGAAACAAGGTGGGGATTGGATTACAGGATAGTTAACAAGATTATGTGCTCTCTTGAGGGTGGTTACCACTTGTTTCCAAGGTGTGTTAATCCAGATGCATAGAAACAATGAACAGGGCTGCTTAAGGCAAAGTTCAAGCCTTTTAGTAAAGAAGTGACAGGCTTGGTGAGTGACTACCCCACCATGACCTGCCCAGTTAGGAATTTATGATCAGATCACCCTATGAGGTTACTTTTCATGGAACCCTGTTTATCATCCACAATCCAAAACCGCTGTGCCTCAAACATCTTAAATACTAATAATACCCTGCCTGAATTGGAATCCTTTCCTTCTAGCTCAAACACCATCACTTTAAATTACCCTGCTTTTTAATTGTTGTCTTCAACCTGAAAATGCCCAAGTCTGAATCAATCCACCTTCTAGCTTTCTCTTTCAAGCCACAGGACTACTAAACAAAAATTGCGTAACAGTGCTACTGAAATCACAGCATATTCTGTTTTTTTCCTCAGCCAGAAGCAGTTACAAAAAAGGGCTCCTGGTGGCTAATTGGGCTCAAGTTGAAAAGCAGAGCCTAGCAGCCATTTCTAAACAGGGGCCTCTCACACTGACCACACTTCAGGGAGAAGCTACACTGACCTGCCTGCCATCTGAGGCCAGTCCCTGTGAAGGAGTTCCTGGATTAGTATTTCAACCAATAGGACCGAGGCTTTCCCCATCCAATTGGGGCTGCACAGCTATATTTCCTCCATCAGAATATTCACTAACCAATCAGAGAGGCTCCACTCTGACCAATCAGGACAGTGCTTCTTGGACCAATCAAACATTGAAGATTTGGAGTCCTCCTTCAAAAGTCTCAAGAGGCAAGGACTTCTGTCTCTATAAGTCAGCTACCCTCTGACTCTGAGACCATACTTGCTCTTTCCTTTCCATCTTAGACTGAAGACTGTTTCCCACTGGATCTGAATCCTGAAAGATGAAACACCAAAGATGTTTTACAGAGTGAAGCAGAGCAGACCAGTGCAGGGCGGAGTGGAGCAGGGCAGGAGGGTCACTCACAGCCACTCACCAGATTGGCCTTCTGGAGAAACATATTCAAGAAAGTGGTGCTTAATGTGTACAAGTTCTCACTGCATTTGTCAACTTCCTCATCAAGGCCTATCATATCCAAAACCACCTGTATCCACATTTCCCTGATTGGCACCACAGAGAGGTGAGTAGAGTGACAACATTATTAATTGCCTCTCAGACAATTTCTATTGTGTAATTGTCTCTCAGACAATTTTTATTAAATTTCTATTTAATCTTTTACATTTTGCAATATAATTATAGATCTGTAAACCCATCCCAAACCAGTGCTGAATGTATCAAAAACCTATGATGAATAAACAACTATGTGCTTAGGTCCAGCTCCTCTCCTACCAGCATCTCTTCCCGTTTGTCTGCCCTTCTCATTGTTTTGTTCAGCCATCCATGCATACATTTGGTAGTTTACTAAGATCTTAGTGAGTCTCTACTAAGCCCTGTGTGCTAGGCTTCTGAAGGAGACACAATTCTGCCATCAAGGAATTTAGAGTTCAATGAGGTGGGCAGGGAGGAGGCCGGCAGTTCAGCAGGAGTCAGAGAAGAGCTGGCTAGCGTTAGGATAGGTGTAAGCAGTGGGCGCCATGAGAGCTCATAAAGGANAAAACACTTTAGTTACTAGATGACTCATTTATTATAAAAGGATATAACTCAGGAATGGCCAGATAGAAGAGATGCATAGGGCAAGGTATGTGGGAAAGGACATGCAGCATTAATGCTCTCTGAGCTCCCCACATTTTACAAATCTCCACATGTTCACTAACTTGGAAGCTCTCTGAACTCTGTACTTTTGAGGCTTGTACTTTTGAGTCCTCATTGAGTCCTCATTTGTACTTTTGAACTCTGAACTATGGAGGCTTCATTACATAGGTATGATTGATTAAATCATTGGTCATTGACAACTGAACTCAATCTCCAGTCCCTCTCCCCTTTCTAGAAGTCAGGGGTGGGGCTAAAAGTCACAAGCCTCTAATCACAAACTGGATTCCTTGGCAAACAACCCCATTCTTTGGTGACTTAAGGGCTTTCCCAAGGTCACCTCATTAACATAACAAGAGAGACATTTGTAGCTTCTATCACTTAAAAAATTCTAAGGATTTTTTGAGTTCTGTGCCAGAAACAGGGACAAAGATCATGCATTTCTCATAATAAATCACAGTGTCACAATATGGAGCAGCCATCTCCTCAGAAACCAGGAGCTATTCTCACAAAACAATGGAAGAATGACCCCAAAGGCAATTTAAAGACTACGGAGTAGTAGGAGATAACACAGAACTGCCCAGTAAGTCATCTTGGTTTTCCTTTTGCAGGGAGTTTCCTGGGCATAATGTTTAAAATGCCAGGTGCTAACCCATTGGATCCTGATCATGGTATGGGGTTTCAGGGTGAGCTCAGAGCAGTTTGTTTTCCACCCTGATGGGAAGCATTTCAGTGCATTATTTTAATAAGTAAACCTGTGTTGGTGCATGCCCATGGGTCATGAGTTTGGTGGCATCCCTGGCTGGACCTCCCTCTATTGTCCCCTTTCATGCCTCATCTGTAAAGCTCCCAACAGGAAAATTTCACATCCTGCTTGACATGACCACAGCACAAGACAATGGAAAAGAACACAGTGGTCCCAGGGGCCTTACAAGCTGCCCCTTCAGGACAAGTCAGTAACAAGATGACTTCGTGTGTGAACTCGTGGTTGTCCAAGACCATGGACCTCAGAACCACATCACTCAGAGGTCACCTTGCTGAGCCTGGGAGAGCATGGGGGTTTTTCTTGGCCAAGGATATGGACCCCTGTCCTGGACAATGAGAACCCATCCCTGATCTATGAGGTCCCAGCCAGGGAGGAGTGGCTATTATGTAGCTGAGAGAAGCCATGGGCCTCTAGGGAATTTCTGCCTTGAAGAGGATTGTATAAGGAAGGGCAGGGAGGCTGGACATTGGAGTTCACACAGAGCATAAATATTCATAGAATGAGGCCCAGCTGTAGCCCTAGAAGTTGCATCACACATCTTTCCCCTGGAGAAGAAACCTGCAGAAGGAATTGGGAGGCCATGGAACAGGATCTCAGTGGGTTTCAAATGTCAGTAAAGAGTGAACACGGAGCCCCTAGAGGGACCTGAGGATGGACAGTCCTGCCTGCCCTAAGTCCACTTGCAGATGACCTTCCTGTGGCCTTGTCTTCTCTACATCTAAGGTTTGATCCCTTTACTTGCTTTCCCACAGCTAATGTTGATACAGTTCCTGATACTGAATTAGAAAACTACAAATTCCAAATATTTGGTGAAAAGAAACCTCAACAAGAGGAACTGAAAATACTTCCTCTTTCTCTGAATCATTTCAAGGCATTCACTGTCCTGAGGCAGGAAATAGCCCTGACAAGTGTAATTTTTAAAGACACCTAGTTTCAGTGGTTGCTATGCCTGTGAAAGAACTTCCTGGGAGGAGTTATGAGGACTTGTGTGTGCCCCTGTCCCAGGTTCACTACACTGGAATGGACCTGTCCTCTGAGGAAGGGGACTCGAGGGACACGTGTCCTTCAGTAGCCAGGGAGGGGGAATGGCTCTTCCCCCTTCTCCCACACACAACAAGCTGATGACACTGCAAGATTTCTCCATTCAGGAAGGAATGTGATAGTTTGTACCTCATTGACCTGAGCATGGGAAGTGAAAGAACCAAACACAACTCCCAGGCTGTAATAGAAACAGGACTTTATTACAATAATATTGAATCTGGCCTTCGCTATTGTCAACTGATGGTGGTTGGTGCCAATTCATTGCCAACACAAATCCCCCATTCGGGCTGTGGTGAAGAAGNTGCAAAGGTGCTAATTTGAAGCTTACATACATATAATTAAAACTCAGTAGTAACCAAGCAATTGTTCAGAATTTAGGCCAACACAAGTTTTTCTTTTTCTTTTTCCTGGGAGGAGTATGTTATCATTGACATTATTTAGAATTGCCTGAGGAGGGTGATAATAAAAAGCAGTCAGAATTTTAGTTGGCTTAATGCACACTCTTGTTGCCTGTTTGCCAGGTGAACTCCTACAGCGCTCAGCTTTGGTCCCACTAGTTGGGACTAAAAGTTGAGAATTTGTGATCTGAAACATGCCTGCCCTCCTGTAGTTCTTCATCCATAGATTCACTGGCTCATTCCACGAGTACTTAATGGACACATGTTATGTGCCAGGCTCTGCAAGAGGTGCTGGGAACAAAATATTGAATAAGACATGAAACCAAACACACACAAAATTTACTACCTAGTGGAATGTATAGACAAGTGAATAGACAAGTAAATACAGAGCAACTGGGTTACGATGGGTAAATATGGGAAACCACTGAAAAGGGCTCCTGGCTTGGTGATGAGGAGTCCCCACAGAGCACGGCATTGGCGTTGAGACTAACCCCAAGCCCAACAAGCAGAACTAGGCTGGCTTTGTTGATGCTGCTCCTGTCTCCTGTTTTCTGCTTTTACCAGGACAAAACGTGGGCTTCCAAAAGGCCACCCTTGAGCTTTCAGTTGCCTATATGACCTAGCACCATGGCTCTTTTAATAGGTTTTGGTCTTCTGGCATCTTCCCTCTGTGCCCTTCCCTTTTATTCCTCACCACCAGGGAAGTCACTCAGAACATGTTTTCCCGGGTCTGGCTATATCAAGACTGCCCTTGAAGTGTCCCTTCCCACAGTAATCAGGAACCCTAGGACTTAGCCCAGCTGGAGTTCCTTGAATAGCCATGTCAGATGTCAGAAATTTCCTATTAATACAGATGTGAGCTAATATTTGCATACTTATACTCAAGGTATTACATTGCAGACTAGAAAACCAGGACACATTTTCTAGAATGATGGAGATTTAAAAAAATCCTTGCAGCATTCAAGTTTTGCATTTTACTTAGTTTATTAAAACATCTTATTTCTTATTTTGGAAAAATGATTGAGAAAGTAAGCATCAGACATGATTATGTTTAAAAATGAAGTTGGTACAGACTGTAACAATCACAGAGACAGTTGGTACCACAATCATGTACGTGTACAATGTGCTTCCAGAGATTCTTTTGACCAGGGCTGAGGGAGTGAAAGGTAGCATCTGCGTTCTTGTCATCCACTGTATTTATGCCTTAGAGTTCCATGCAGAAGTTTATTGAGGTTCCTTCCATCTTTTTTCTGTAGATTTTGTCAAATCTCTCATTCTGAGCCACAGTAAAATGGTTTTTCCAATCCCCCACAGTTCCTAGAAGAGGAAAGCCCAGACAGAAGTGTTACTCTCTGATTGAAAATTTCAGTGGCCTGAGTGAAGAAGTGGAGTGACCTGCCTTACCCCCACTTTCCCTTCAATGAATACCCATCCACCTGTAGCTCTCAGCTCTGAGAAGTGGCCCTCGGGTGCTCTGTGCAGGAGGTGGGCTCCTAAGTTGGGTGGACAATTGACCCAAAGGAGTTGGTGACCTGGCCCCACCTGTGCTATATTCATATGATGGACTACTCAACAGACATGGAAAGGAACTACTGATGCATAGCCACACAGAGGACTCTTAAAGCATTACATTGAGCAAAAAAACACCACACTTTATATAAAGTCCAAGAAGAGGCAAAATAATTATATGACAGAAATTAAAACAGTGGTTGTCTCTGGGGGTAGAGATTGACTTTTCAGGGGCATGAGGGGGAATCTTCTGCGGTGATGAAAATGCTTAATATCTTGATTGGAATGCTGGTTATATATGGGTATATATGTTTATCAAAACTTGAACTATACCCTTAAGAGCTATACATTTTTGTATGTAAATTACATCTCAATAAAAAATACTTTGGAGAAAAATATGAATGAGATACATTTTCTTTTCACCAAGCAGAAATATTAAAATAATTTTAAGAAGGAAAAATACCCTTTGTCTCACTAATGCTTCTTCTGGAAAATTATGCAACAGTAGTAAAAGGATCAGGACATAAGAACATATGCACAAAGATGTATACTGTAGTACTGTTCATAAAGACAAAAAATTAAAAATAACTCTAGTGTCTACCATTAGGGGAGTAGTTGAGTGAAGCAAGAGGTATCTGTACTTTGATACAACATGAGATCACTTAAAACAGTGATCTACATGAACCTACATACATGTCTTGTGCTGGAGGATGTCTGATATTCTGGTAAATGAAGGTGTATATGACCACATTTTGTGTTTCAGGGAGCAAGCTCTCAGCATGGTGTATACTGAGCCTGAGAGAAGGAGGATGTATAGAAAGATGAGTCTGTATGGTCTGTACAAGGGCTACTTCCCAAATTATCACCATTGAAGAGGAAAGAAATGGAATTGTTTGGCTTGTTCCAGTAGCATGGCATAGTGTTGTAAATTGGAAATTTTAACAAAATAAATTCAACCACATGTTAAAAGAAGAAGAAAAGAAGTTCAAAGCAGTGTGTACACTGTGGTTCCACTGTTGTGAAAATAAGTCTATGTTTACAAAACAGAAAGGGAGGGGATGTCCATATCATTGATAGTTACTTGTGGGGAACAGGATTTTGGTGAAGGGAACTTTTTAAATATAATTCTATATTGACCTAATCCTTTCTTTTTCAATTACATGTATTTCTTTTTTAATTTAAAAGCAATAACAATTTTTGTTTTCTTTAGAAAATGTTAGCTGGGCCAATTAGAATTCCTCTTTTGTGAATTGGAACTCAGAAACTTAAAGAGGATAAGGCAGTTCTCAGCAGTAGGTGTAGCTGAAAATCAGGATGAAGAGCAGGTTTGGGACAAGATTAAGACCAAGTTATGAGCTGTAACTGAGTCAGCAGAAGCTATGAAGTAGGAAAAGGGTATAATAGGGAGAACGAGTGGAAGCTGTTCAGCGGAGAAAGGCACTCGTAGCAGACATGTGGAGAGCAGAGTCCTGTAAATGGTGGTGTGTCAAAGCAAAGAGCCAGAACCTGCTGCTGCTGGGGTCCCAGACTCTGAAGTCCAGGAACCTCCATGAGGCTTGGGCCAAGAGTAGCTCCTGCTCTTAACTGTCTTTGAGACGCCATTGGATGATAAGAAGCCCCTCGTTTTGAGGCCAGCTTGAGGGACTCTCTGCTCTTTGCAACCAAAGCTGTGTAACAAGATCAAACCCCCAACCTTATTAGCAGCAGATATTATGAATAGCATAAATGTATTATCTTGAAATTAATAAAAACCCAACATCTTCTTGCTAAGAGGCAGGCAGTATGTTACTAGACAAATTGAGTATTTCACTTATACATATATTTATATAGTATTTCAGGCCCCACAAACCTTTTCTCATGAAGGGGGAAATGGATTGGTCCAGGATAGATTTGGAAACTGTAGAACGATTTGTCATGGGATTTTCTTTCATTTTCTCAAATGATGTCTCCTGGACGATTTTATCTAACACTGTTTCATCCAAGTTCTTTCCCATAAACCGCATCACCTTCTGAATTTCATGTTTTGGGTCCTGTGGTGAGGGTCACATTGCATTGGAATGGAAGAAGGTATCGAGGGTATCAGAAAGACACACTTACACTCTTCAGGATATCCCTCCCAGAAGTCCAGCCCTGAAACAGCTTTGGATCTCTCTGCGCCTGGGTCTGAAGCGGTTCATCTGAAGGGCCTCTACTCACCTTCTTTATGGCCTCATAGAAGAGGAAGAGGATCTGGTATCTGTCTTTCATTTCCCACCATCCTTTCACATGGTCAAACCAGGAACCCCAACCCACTGTAATAGACACAGGAAACAGAGCAGTCCATCTAGGGATCATACAAACCTTCCAATAGTTAGGAATTCTATTTACCTGATATGTGTTAGAGAGAGAAAAACAAATGATGGACCAGATATATTCTAAGAGTCCTGGTCTGTTTGATTTGGAGGTTGATGTACAATGGGAAAACTTGGAGTAATTTATCCCAACACACTACCTAACATGACTTCATATTTATTATGCATAATCACCTATGCCCTCATAATGGGACAGGGATACCCTTTGGAATGAGGGTGACTCTACAGGTAAGGTGACCCAGAATAAAGGCTTTCAAATCAAGTGGGAGATACGTGTATTTACTTGGGCTGTGGGTGTTCACTGTGAGAGCAGCCAGCCTGCTCCAGCCAGTCCCAGTCTGTGGTAGGACATGCCTAATGAGGGAGGCACACGACATTCTAGGGAATCAAAACGTGTGATTGAGTCTAGCTGGAGTGTGGCTGCAAGGATGTGAAGGATTGTCCTTTACCTTTCCCATTGGTGAAGCTTTCAAAATACTCTTCCCAGGTACCAGGGTCAGGAAGCATTTGATTCATCCTTTGGAAATGGTAGTAGGAAACCATACAGTCTTTGGCATTTCGAGCGACGTAAAGGAACTTTGGGGTAAGAAGAGAGGTGGGTGAAAGTTTATTGTGTAAAAAGTGGATTTTCACATGTTGAGCCATCCTGAGGGTGGCTGTGCACACTTGGCTCAGCTCTCCTGTTGTGGCAATTCAACTTGGCCTTGTGGCCTTCCTTTCCTCTGGCTGTCCCTGCTTTTTTGCTGATTCTGCTCTCTAGTCCTAACTCGGTCCTATGAAACAGACTGGTTTCTGTTTTTCCCCTTGCTATGAGAGTACAATCTTTGTCTAGAAACTATGGCCCACCATCAGACTAAGACTATATATACACGCTGACGATCCTCCTAATACCTTCACCTTGGTTTCCCGGAGAAACAGAACAGCTTTGTGGTTAAGAGTTTGGGCCATGCAGCAAGAAAATAGCTGTTGTTCTTTCTGGCCTCATCAACTCAGTTATTTCCACCTCTAATCACTTCAGTTGTCCCCCTACAAAGCATCCTTTTAGGTTTCATTTTGACAACAGCTTTGTACCCTTCTATTCTCCTGGCCTTTCTCTTTAACCAAGTGTGACCTTTTAATCTCATTGAGATTTCTAGGTGCTTAACTCACACTTTAACAGCATCAATCTCAAAGTGGTCTCATTGACTAGCTATCTCAAGTCCATGACTAGCCATTGAGAAGCTGTGCTGATTTTGTTTTCTTTACCTAAAATGGTGGCTCTCGATTGGGAATGATTTTGCCCACTAGGGGACCTTTGGCACTGTCTGGAGAGGGATGCTGTTGAACATTCTACAATGTACAGAACAGTCCACCCCCCTCTCCAAGAATGGATTATCTGGCCCAAACTGTCAATAATGCTGTATTAAGCATGTCTTTTATTTTCTGTATTCTGATGATTTGACATCTTAGAGCCTATGAACCCTGAAGGGACTGCCCCTCTCAGGATGAAAGAACTAACTATCAAGCTCAGTTTTCAAATGCAAACCACCCAACCCAGAGCCCACACATCAATCACTTTCCTTATTGGGCTCTCACACTCTGGGCCACTATTCACCTGCTGTAATCACCCCAGGGACAGGACCAGACAATTAGGGACAGTCCTATGCCCTAGAGCCCACTGAAATTATTCAAACTACCCAATCCTGAACCTACTTACCTGCCTCACCCAACCTTCCTTGGAAACCACAGTAAATGCTCTTGCTAACATTTTACCCTCGCCCCCTCTGCTCCCTGACCTACCCTGGTGCTTTCTGGTGTAGGGACTTTAAAAAGTCCACTGGAATTCTTTTTGTTTTAGATTTTACTGGGGAATTGGGGAAGGGGAACAGCCAAGTTATTGTGCTTCAGTCTTAGTTGTGAAGGGTGCAGCTAGCTCAGCTCCAAGTCCACTTGCCATCCAACCACCCGTTGGCAGCTCCTGGCCACTCAGCTCAAGGTGTTGTGTTCAATCTTAGTTGCTGGGTGGGTGTAGCCCACTATCCCATGCAGGAGTCAAACTGGTAACCTTGTTGCTAAGAGCACACACTCTAACCACTGAACCATCCGGCTGCCCAACAGCAGCTCAGGGAAGCTCAGCTTAAGGTGCCGTGTTCAATCTTAGTTGTGGGTGGGCATAGACCACCATTTCATGTGGGAGTCGAACCAGCAACCTTGTTGTTAGGGACATGTGCTCTCACCAGCTGAGCCATCTTGCCACCTGTTGGCAGCTCAGCGGCAGCTCAGCTCAGGCACAGCTCACTGGCTTATGTGGGAATTGAACCAGTGACCCTGTTGCTCAGAGCTCGCGCTCTCAACCAACTGAGCCACTCAGCCGGCCCCCACTGGAATTCTTAATCTTTTTACCCTCTGGTTGGCTTTCACTCCATTGCTGCTTGATAATTATTTTATTAATCTCTTCTTCATTCCTTCTCATATTTCTAACCTCTGGTCACAAGATTCTCTCCTCTTTCCCTTGTCTTCAAACTTTTATCCTAGCCCCCTCCCCAAGTTCGTAAATTCTCTTTTCAGTTATATATATTCTGCACTTTAACCCTATTCTTTAGTTTTTCAATTAAATGATCATATTATATCTTTTCAGTTACAGAAATTCTGTTTATTTATTTAATAAATAATTCTTTTAAAAATAGTATTTTTCCAGTCTTTTACTTTTAATTCAATCTTTTATTTCTTTATACAACTTAAATATTCTTCTTTAATTTCTATATCTGGTGACTTTCTTATCAGAAATTCTTGAGGTCTGACTCACTGTTCTTTCTGCGGACTCTCATGGTGGCTTGTTCCTTTGTGTATTTTTTAAATGTGAGATGGTGAGCTCAAGGAGAAGCAAGCACTGTGGGGCCCAAGTTGAAGCTCCAGAGAGGATCTGTGTTTGTTTCTTCCAGGCACCCTGGGGACATTGGCAATGGGATGCATCTTATGCGAATTTCTTAGCTTGCAGCTTCTTGGACAATGCAAGTACAAGTGTGAATGTCAAACTCTCCAGAGAGGAGGCCTCTGGTTAAATACTCTCAGGGGAGCTGAGAGGCCAGGTCCAGACAGAGAGGCTTCCTTGGCCTCCTTTACCCACCCACTGAGGATGAAGTCCTGCAGCACTCCCAGCTTCAGTTCTTCACTCTTCTGGTTCTTTTTGCTCTCGGCTTTGACCCTGTCCCTGTGCAGCCATTACAGATCGAGTTGCTGAATTATCTAGGTCAACAAATCCCCTGGGACAACTATAGACTCAATTTACCTCTCTAAATTTCAGCTCTCTCTTCATTTTTATAATTTAGGATTTTCCTTTACTTTATCTTGATCTCAGTTATGCATTTAAAAGGAAACTTGTTTTATGTTATGCAGCTTTCCTATGTGTTTTATACGAAAGGATTTCAGGATATCTAGTCTGCCATAATCCTGGAAATGGAAGTTCTTATTCCCTTATCCAACTTTACTGAAAGGACTTATGTCATTTGACGTGAGTCCTCTGTACCCTAGAAATACATCTTTTTCCCCTTCATTCTGACCTCTGAGAAAAGTATGCTCCACTTTCTTACCAGGGCTGCTGATAGCTTAGTTACCCTTGACTCCACTCACTCCATGGCCACTCATTTGTTGTTTATTCAGCAAATATGTTTTCTATGTCCTCTATGTACCAGGGACTGATTAGGCAAAGTGGTGTGGAATAAATGAAGTCCCAGAGTAAATAAAACTAGAAGTCCAGAATCTACTAGAGGCTGAAACCAAGTGCCGCCCTGGTCCCAAGAATACTGTTCCATCTACTTACCCTTTTAAATAGTTGTCAAGCAAAAACTCACACACAGACAACAGTTTACTAGTTACCAGAGGGAAAGGAGGAGGGAGGTAGAAAACAGTAAACAGAGTTGAATGTGTGGTGATGGAAGGAGAACTAACTCTGGGTGGTGAACACACAATGCAATATATACATGATATATTATAAAATTGCACACTTGAAACATATAATTTTATTAACCAATGTCACCTCAATAAATTTAATAAAAAATAATCTTCAGGGCTTTTCTCCCCCACACTCTTTCTTCTCTTCTTTATTATATGAGTTTTCTCATTGCTTACAACCTAGGGTAACCACCTGCTCCCCATCCTTTCACAGCCAGGTTTACTAAAATATCAGTGGACACTCACCGTCTCCCCAATATCTCTAGTTGTCTCCAAAAATTTACTCTGGCTTTTGCTTTCATGTCTTGTTTTTGAAACTGTTCAGTTGATTATCCTGCTGAATGTAGAATTTTACATTTTCTCTTATTGCTGATAAATTCTCAACAGTTCAGAGAGAGTGGAGAGTAAAAATGATGATGCATGTCTTGAATCAAGGTCTGGAGGATTTGCTCTCAGGAGACTTACCCTCCCTTCCTGTGGGTGGGGGTGGGGTTTGCTATCTTACCTTGCAGTTGTTTTCCCAAAAAGATGGAGGCAACAGCTGAATGGGAAGGTGAGTCCTTAGTGTCCGTGGAGAGGGCATTGCTTTGGCTTTTTCAACACCTTTAAAGCAAGTCAAGAGGAAATGTCTGTGTAATACAAGCATCACATGAGGAACTTATATTTCAGGCTCTGTCCATAGGTCCCATCACCTGCTTATCTTTCTGCTTGTCTCTTGACTTCCTTTTGGGATTTCATAATGGGGTTATTGATATTACCTTCACTTCTATAGAGTTAATTCCTCTGTCACTTTAAGGCTGAGGAGACAGAAGCTGAGGATGGACAAGTGTTGTCTTGTTGAGCCATCTGAGGCCAGAGGGCAGGCCTCTCTCACCTCCCAGCCAGTGCTTACCCCTGTGTGCCTGCAGCAGGTTCCATGTGCCTGGACTGTGTGCCAGTCACTTGTTTCAAACTCTAAAAACATACACACTTGATGGCATGTGAGCTGTGATTTCTACTCTCTCCTTTAAAACACTTACTGGGGCACTTGCTCTGTGCCATCACTGTGTTAAACTGAGGTGAAGGGAAATGGCAACAAAGATGAGGAAGACACAACCCTTCTCTCTAACAAGCTTCCATTCTAGTGGAGGAATCCAAGAAAACTGGAAAAAAGCTTGATTACAAAGTAACATTTTATTTTAAATATGAATCAACAAGTCATGTTCTAAAGCAACCTTCCATACCACCCTTCCACCTCTGTGGTCCTCTGATCACCAAGCCCAGCTGACTGAGGAGCCAGGCCCTCTCTAGTTGGTGTCTGGTTTTCCAAAGATGGGGGTGGGTAGAAAGGAGCCTGTGAGGAAGATGCCTAGCCTTACCCCTGCCAATCACCCTGGGAGGACCATTGCCGTGTTTGACTTTTAAAAAGCTGGATCTTGGGGAATGTTACTCAGAGTGCTAACTGCCCTCTCCATGGTGTAAATGGTGCTTCTGGTCCATCTGAGCATTACAACTTGGCTACACCTCTGGGCCTGAGGAAGAGGAAGACTCTTTCAGATCCCAGCAGAGAGGAGAGGCCAAAGCCCTCTCTGGGAGAGACTGTGTCTGGGGTTGAAGCTCTTGTTACCAACAACCTGAAATGTAAGTGCTCCTGGTGGCATCAAATTGCTGCTGCTTTGAGCAGCTAGATCATGTGACTTTCTGCTTAGAAGTCTCGGGCAATGTCTAATTTTCAAGTTCGTGTGTGTGTGTGTGTGTGTGTGTGTGTGTGTGTGTGTGTGTTGAGCAGGAAGGTGGGGGTTGGAGGTACTAGGGAAGGGATATGCTTCATTCTGGTTTTCTTTGATTTTATTTATTTTATATATTGGGAATCTCCAATAAATTTTTTAAATTATGGAAAAATACACGTAGCAAAATTTTCCATCTTAACCTTTTCAAGCATACAGTTCAGTAGTGTTAAGTACTTTCGGATTGTTTTACAACCAATCTCCAGAATTCTTTTCATCCTGCAGATGAAACTCTACCTGTTAAACACTAACTCCTACCTTTTCCCTCTCTGCAGGCCTGACAAAGAGCTCTGTTTCTGTCTCTATGACTCTGTCTATTCTAGATATTTAAGTCAAATCAAACAGTGTTTGTCTTTTTTGCGACTGGCTTATTTACCTTACAGTATGTCCTCAAGGTTAAATTCACATTGTAGCATGTGTCAGAATTTTCTTCCCTTTAAAAACAATGGTATTCCGTTGTGTGGGTATACCACATTTTACCTGTTCATTCATCCACCCATGAACATTTGGGTTGCTTCTACCTAAAGTGGCTCCCTAGCAGCCAAAATGAAGAGGGAGTTGCAAGATATAGAGGTAAGAAGAAGAAAGAAAAAGAAAGACTGTGATGACACTGCCCTGAGCATGTTTGCTCCCCCAAGACCTCTGTATGCTTGGGCTTTCCTCCTCCTACATGCAGCCCTCCTGGCAGGCTTGACTCAGCTCCCACTTCTGCCAAAGAACCCCTATAGCTTGGGGCTTTACATAAAGCCTTTAACCAGAGTTTTCTTTTACAAATTCAAGTAAATTATGCACTTATTCCTTTTCTCTTTCTTTCTCTTTCTCTCTCTGTTCCTCCAGTAATGCTCCAGAAAAGCTGGTTCCGTTGTGTCCTTCCCCTGACACACTGCCACAATTGCTTAGATTGTGAGTCCATGAGCACACTTCAGGCTACAGACTCCAATCTCAAGCCCACCCTGAGGGAGAAGGGGGTGAATGAGTCATTTTTGGCCTTCACCGTCTGCACAAGGAGCTTGAGATCTGGAGGAGAGGTAGATAGATAACAATAATAATAGCTTATCATTTTAGGTATCACCATTTCTAGGAATTGGTCTTTTGTCACATTCCTCCCACCCTGCCCATTACATCCTATGCTAACCTCTACCCAATATACTCACTGCTTGTCATTGTATAGTGTATATTTCTCTTTCATTGGAGGATACATTTATTGAGGGCAAATGGAGGTATGGAGTCTTCTGTGCAGCACAGGGCTTATAGTATAAATGTTTGTTGAACTGAAGGGGTCATTCATAGATTTCATTTATATACAGTTCACACCACACACACACACACACACACACACACACACGTATTTTCAAAGACTTTCCAGCCCTATTCTCATTGGGTCACAGATGCAATGCCTTTCACATCAAACAGCTCTGTAGCTAAGAGTTGGTGGGAGGGTGAAGGAGGTCTGGGAGACAGGGAAACTGCAGGGCACAAACTCACACAGAGTTCAGCACTATCCATCCACTCCAGAAACCTCTGAGGTGGTTGGTATACTTGACCCACGCCCATCAGTCTATTTCAGGAACCACCCTACTCTCTTCAGAGGCACTCCTTACCTCTGAGGGATTATTTATTCTGAAATAAAACCAACACACAGCCTAGTCTGCACCCAGCATCCATCTGCTTGTGGCCAGAAAGACCATGAAGCCTGTAAGTTACCTCTTTGGACACAGGGTACCTTGTTTCAAAAAGAACAATCTTGGTTTCTATGACATGTCATGCTGGGCTATTGGTTTTCATCCTTTCTTAAAATTCTACAGTTGTTGGCATTCACTTGATAGAAGCTCTATGCTGTTTTTAATACAGACTTACTGATTAAATGCTTTGCCAAGAACACCTCATTGAAAATCATTTTAGGCTTTTTTTTCCCCCCTCTCTCTTTAATCTCTCAAATTGTCAGAGGTAAAACAATAGTGCAGGGAAAGAATGCAGAAATAAGATAAAAATCTAGGCTTGGATGAACCAGGGAGCTTATAGGGTTGTGGGGTAAGAGATTTAGCCTGAAGAGGTGGTCAGTAATACCTAACACTTAAATAGTATCTACTCTGTTCCAGGCACTCTTTTAAGCTTTTTATATGTATTAACTCATTTGATCCCCACAACAACTCTTTGAGACAGGCACAAATTCCATGGACATTTTGCAGCTGAGGAAACTATAACATAAAAAGGGTAACTTGCTAAAGGTCATGGAGTGAGTGGTGGCATCAGGAGTTAAACCCTAGTTGTCCTTATGAGGATCAGACACACACAAAAAATGGAAAGAGTGTAATCACAGTTAAGCAAGCAGACAGTAGCCTGTGTGTGAGGTCAGAGCCCTGCAGGCAGTTCAGAGCAGGGGCCAGTCCAGGCACTTGATAGCAAAGCTAATGGTCACCCAGACAGACAGGAACTGAGGGTCAGAGGTACCAGAGGATCTAGGCTGGTAGGACCATAGGGAAAACAAAATGCCTCAAGGATACTCTAACACAATGGTACAGGTTACAGGTGTAACTTCTGAGCATCAGATCAGGAACTTTTCTATCTGAAGGTATTTGTAAAAATTTGTCAGTCTGTCAACAGTTACTCCAAGTTCAGACTTTAACACTAGAGTTGTATTGACTATACTTCTATAGTACTTCTAGTTATTTGTGTTTCGAATTTTCTATTA